GTTGCGGCGTTGTCGGTGGCAAACGGAGAAGTGGACCCAGAGGAGGCTCGAGATGCCGCGGCGAGAGCGGCCGAGGCGGCAGAAGCGGTGGCCGAGGCAGCGGAAGCGGCGTCGATGTCAGCAAGGATTGATGCGGAAGCGGCACAGGTGTCGCTCGACGCGGCGGCGGTGGCCACGCAAGCCGTCATGGGAGATCCAGGAGAGTTTTCCAACACTGCAGCGCAATTTGCCACGATATCCCGAAATGCCGCAGAACTGTTTGGAAGCGAGCCGTCATCCATGCAGACGCCTGAAACGACGGCAGCGATTCAGGATGCGGAGCAGGTCGCTTTGCTGGCAGAAGCCACTGCAATCATCGCAGGAATGGCAGACGATTCTGAGGGCGCAGAAGCCCTCGCGAGGTCGGCAACCACATTGACACAAACAGCGGCGGAAATGGTGCAAAACCTTCCGGAGAGGACGGCGCTCAGCTTGGCACAAGATTCCCTCGCGGTCGGCTTCACAGCCTCAGTCGCACGCATCACCGCGACGACCTCGGCAGCCGCAGCCGCAGCCAGCTCAGGAGCGGAAGCGGCAGCCAGAGACGCGTTAATGGCGGCAGAGGAGGCGGCGGATGCCTCCAGCTCGCTGGGTAACGGCCAAGGTACCCTGACCTCGACGGTGGATGCCGGACTCGCGGCCAGTAGCGCGGCCGGCCGCGCGGCCGACGCGGCCGTGGCGGCGTCTCAAAACGGATCGGCCGCGGACGTGCAGTTGGCCGCTTTGGCTGCGGAGGCCGCCGCAATAGCTTCCAGGGTGGCGGCGGCGGCGCAGAACGTGGCCTCCGCCGAAGCGACGACGCAAACCATCACGGATGCCCGCCAAGTGGCCCGGGACGTGGACAGAGACTGGACGGACTTGACGAGCAGGTTGCAAGACATGCTGACGGGGGCTTCGCAGGACGGCTGCGGGAATGTCGTGGACGAGCTGGCGACCCTGAGCGTGGCGTCCACGGGGCAGGTGAGCACGGACTTCGCCAGACAGGTGGCAGAGTTGGCTGTGACGACGACCACGGCGGACCAACGCCTCGACACCGAGACGGAGACCATGCGAACTCTCGCTTCGGCGGCCGCCTCGTCCGCCAACGTGGCGGTGCGAACGGCAAGCACGTCGTTGGCCACGGCCGCGGCTACGCAGACGAGCGGCGCTAACATCCGGCTGCTGTCGCTTACTGCGATGTTGGGCGCCGCCGCGCTCCCGCTGATGTTGTGAAGCGTGTTTTAAATCAAGGACTTGTGAATTTTGTGAAGAAAGCCATCTATTTATGCTTGTGTTGTAATGTATGTTTGATGTATGCGCCTCGTCATTGAGTGAGAAACGCCGGCTCAAGATAAATGTGCCTCGGACTTCATGGTGGACGTCATGAAAGTCAGTCAAGAACAAAAGCAACAACAAATGCATGAATTGCACTTCGACTTCAGCTGTGACGCAGTACAAAGAGTGTTTTGTCTGCGATAAGTACGCGACTCCTGCATTTTTCGCTCGCGCTGTTGGAGTGTTGTTCCGTTGTCGACCCAACACAATAAAAACTACTGGACTGATTGCTTCCTCTCCACCTCTGCCTCCGCGCCGGCGTCGCTCGAGCCCGCCGCAAGGGCGAGCCACGCCGCAAGGGTGAGCCACGCCCCGCGAGCCGATGGAAGGCAAAGGCCTCGCGGTCTGACGCGCTTCCCAAATGGAAAATGTGCTCAAATGGCTGCTCTTCTTCCTCCTGAACGACGGGCATCTCGGTCACCACACTCATCATGCACATGAGGTCTGGGCCTTTCTCCCGGCCGGCGGTCTTGTCACGTGGCATCTCAATCCGTTTCGCTTCTTGCCAGAGGGCTGACCTCCTCTCTCCAGTCTCGGCAACATATTGAACTGTAATCAGCTGGTCGACGTCAACAGGAACTTTGACTGTACCGATAATGATGATGATGATGACGCAAATTGGCAAAAGATCCGGAAGCAACCGCAGACAGTCTTGACTTGGGGCAATTCACCATCTTCCGCATCGCATATTTAATTTAAACCCGCTGAGCCGGCGGAAGATGTCACATTGGCTGGCGTAAATCGTCAACCACAACGACTT